AAATTTAGGAATTAAAATAAAGTCGAGAAATTTTACCCCTAAGAAAAATCTTACTAATCCTGTTCATAAGAAGGTGGGGAAGGATAAGGTAATCAATTTATCTAGTACAACTCTAAAGGATAGTGTAGTACTTTTATTGGAAAGTGGATTGAATTTTGCTCTTCCAAATGAGGTAAACCATTCTCTGGAAATATTAGTTGAATTAATTAACTTATCTGATAGATTACCTGAAGAGGTAAGCAATAGTATTGAACTGGAGGTGATCCCCCATTTTGACCATATAATACCACTTAAGAAAGATTTCTAGATACTTCCAAACCCAACCGGGTGCCTTTGATTCTTTGGCAAAATTCGTGTGAATTCTTCACTGTATTCGATAAGCAGCTAAATTTCGCCAGCTTATGTGTTGCTCCCTGTTTGTTGTTCACTTTCAGTCTAAATGGTTCTTCTTTCTGTATCTTCGGCAAACCGTAGGCTACTGAGGCTCTTGCCTTCTTTCGTAGGAGTGAATTAATTGCCCATATGTCGATTTCCCCGTTGGTATTCATATCGTACAGAATTTATCGCAGCGACCCTTGGATTTTAATTGTTGGGTCTTTTCTTAGCAGTCAACAAGTTGTAGAATATTTTTCAGCTTATTTATATGTTACTTCCACTGTGGCATGTCTTTTATCGGCTTGTATAACTGTTTGATCGTTTTTTTCCAATTCTCTAAATATATTGGTTATATTGCTCCTAACCATTGATTCTTGATGTGCCAAAATTGTTAGGACGATTTCCATTTACAGCTCCCTTTTTTATTCTCCCGGTATCTATGGCCTCAACTAAAATTTTCCTTATATGAGATGTATTCACCCTATTTCGTTTAAGGTGATAAAGAAATGGTAGTCGAATTTTCCCACAATGATATGAGTAGAGCTGACGTTTCCATTGAATTTCCCATAGTCTTGCTTTCCCAAAAATTGTTCTCATCCAGGATGGACTGCAGTTTCGACCTTGCATAGGTATTATCAACACCCCAAGCGGCAGTTGAACCGTGACATTGCAGAATGTGAGCTTGACACGTTAACCACTCGGCCACATTGGCACAAGTGCCCTTGCGTCACAGGGCAGATGGTAATTTCAAGGAATGCCAGACCTTTTCCGATATCCTATTCTTTGGTGGGATTGTCGATGAGGCAAACGTATTTTTGCCATAACAACCGACTACATTACTGGTAGTCTCGAAACTCTAGTTATATAATAAAAACAACATTTTCCTTGTTCGCCATTTCTTTATTCCGAAGTGCGAAATTTGGTCGTCTCTCAAGGATCACTGTTGCATTTTTTGTTACATTTAGTCTGTCATCTTCTATAATCTTAGTAAATTCTCTGGGATGAGAACCCGACTCAAATCATGTTTAAGTTTAGATTTAGTATGTTAAAATTTAAATTATTTCCCACTCTCCATATAATTTTTGCAACTATATTTAAGTAGTGATATATTGTGACATAACTTTCCATTTCAAAGTAACAGTTGGTTGGCAGAAGTTTGTGGAATGGAGGAGGATTGTAGCAGAGTGGAGATTGTGGAATTATGCAAGGAAGCCCTCGGTTTACCATGCTGTAGCCCCGATAAACCTGTGCTAAGCTTTCGTCTGTACTGTGACAGATTATATAAGGGCAAGAATACATACTTTACGAAATAGAGCAAAAAAGATACTAAACCAGGCGAAAAGGTGATCATTTTTTAGACACATAATCTTGCGATCTTAGTGAGGCATCACATGATTGGCCTAGCTACATCAATCTACATGCTTGCAGATGAGTGACGTTAATTCGCGAATTGGGAATAAATTAGGTAGCAGCTGTTACCTTACCCAAATGAACTAGGGTGGACTCATGCCACCTTCTTTAACTTGTGGCAGATAAGTTTGGACAATTTGTGTTTCTCTCTGTCTGCTTCCAGTCTAAATGGTTCTCCTAATTTCTGTATCTTCGGCAAACTGTAGGCTACTGGGGCTCTTGGCGTGAATTCATTGTCCAGTTATCTATTTTCTCGTTCATATTCAAAAATAAATTAAGTTTATAGATATTAGGTCAAAAGTGCGGAGCGATCTTGCCATGATTATGACACCTAAAGAGTTTCAGAAACTCAAGAATATGGCCAACAATAAATCACTTAGGATCCATGACTTTATAACAAAGAGGCAACAAAAAGTTGCTTAGGTATGGAATTATAAGG